CGTGCATGATTATATATTATACGACGCTTATTTGCAGTGTCTAGCAATTTTCACGTACAGAATCTGAGTGGCCATTCTTCACACTTCTTGCTCTCTCTACCCAATATTCGAGCCATTTACATTCACGCAAATTCCAGTTCTACAGTATTAAAATTTCCAAACCACGCATAATTGAATAACGATTACGAAATACGGATTAGAAATCCAATTAATTATAATATAAAAATTGCATTTTTTATTTGAAAATAGATTGTTTAAAATAGTCCCTTATATGTGTGACTTGCTTAATAAGTAAATATACGTCTATATGTATATATATCTATAGTATATGTATATGTATATATTTGCAAAAACATTCATGCTTAATTCTTTACTGAATTTATGAAAAAATAAGAATAAAAGATTTAATATTAGAATATATTTGGATATTATTTGAAGTTTTTATTAGCGTAATATTTTAATGAACAATTCAATTTTTATATTTACTTTTTATAAAGTAAGCTTTAATGAAACCAATAACAAACTTTATAATTTTATTTAAACAAATTTTTTAAATATTTAAACTTAAAATTTAAATAAATTTAATTTTTTTAAACAAATTTTACTAACTCTAACAAAATTATAATTTAATTATTAGATGAAAAAATTGGAAATTAAATTGATTTCTAAAATTCTTCATGTTAAGAAAGAATCAACGCCAAATAATTAATGAATAAACTAATACCAATTATATTTGTAGGTTTTCTGAACTGCAAATGATGACAGATGCCATAAAACCGGATAAAACTATAAATATATCGATCTAATATAATAGTCGACACTTGCAAGTTGTAGTTTACATTTTCAAGTATCGACATTTTAATGAGAATGGGCATGAAACTTGTTTTCATCATATTTATGCTTACTGCAGTGTTACTGGAAGCAAAACTGAATCTCTGGGAAAACTTAGCATTTTCTCAGAAAGTAATATTCAACTATCTGTTTCCTAAGGATCCCGGTATAGTAAGAGTAAGGAAGCCAGAACAAATTCAAACAGCGAACAATGTAACTACATTGGATTTTGTGAGTATGATATTGTCTTTCTCTTAATGCGTATGTACTAAAAAAATAATAGTGCAATTATATATACATTAAGAGAAAAGATTAATTACTTACAATTAGATAAAAAAAATCTTTTTTTTTTTTAAAGAAATATTTTGTTGCATTAATGATTGCATAACGATTATTTTAAGTTAACGACAATTTTGCTTTTATTTTGCTCTGGGATATATCTATGAAGGTCGGATTGGTAAAGAAATATGGTTACCCCACCGAAGAACATTACGTCACAACGGAAGATGGTTATATCTTGGTAATACATAGGATATTAAGAAGTCTACTGTCTAAAGGTTATCAAAGAAAAAAAATTGTGTTTCTTCAACATGGTATTATATGTTCATCTGACTGTTGGGTGATGATCGGTGCTGAGAAAGACCTTGGTGAGTGATATATATATATATATATATATATATATATATATGTAAAATCTTTCACGGTACAATTTAAACAATTATATTTTTATGAATATATCAAAAAGTGAATAACAATAGATTATTTTAAGAAATAACTATTTTAGAGACTCCTTTAATTATAAATTCAGATATAGATTCACGAGGCATTAGGAGTCAGCGCTTCTTGTTGACCAATTTTTAAACTTAATGTCTAACTATGGTGCAATATTCATTTTATTTTTTATATTCTTCGTATTATTAATTGAACTACTGTAAAATACGGATTGCTTGGTTTATGAGATGAGCAAAAAAATTTCTGTAACATCACAAATTCCATCCGATTTAATAAAAGGAAAATACTTTTTTTGATTTAGCATTGAGATGGTCAATCCATCACCACTCAGCTATGAAACTGCAGTGCCACAACATTGATTAATGTTGAGGATGGTCGCATCTCACTACTTGACCCATGCAATGTGCATTTGGAAAAAACATGAGATGTATTTTGCGATTCATTAAACAACGATATAATTATTTAATGTCGGTAGTTATTTATATATGCATTTGCAGAGCCGAAACGTTCAGAAATTAATAAATTATATTTTTATTTATATATATATTTTTTTTTCTGTCATTGGTTATATTTGCGCAAATAAGTACTAGTGCTGACTCCTAATGCCTCGTGAATCTATGTCTTAATTTATCAAAATGTGAAATAATTAAATATATATATTATACAGATAGTTTTAATAATTAAAAGAACAACAAATATTGCTAATGTAAGTACGAACCATGAAATTTTCAATATCTAAAGTCACTGCTCTAGACACGATAAGTGTTAATTGCATATACGTGCACGCTTGTAGAGTTGTTTGTTCAGTTTACGCTAAAATTGAAGACACTCAACATGTTTACCTTGACATTACTTGTCTTCGAGAATTTATAAGGAGGACAATGAAACAACTCAGGTGAAAGTCTTGACGAATATTTATTACGCGAAATATAGATCAAGAGATTATCTTACAGAGACAAAATAATAAACACTTAAGTTTCAAGAAACAAAAAGTTTAACAAATTTAGCAAGTAAATAGATTAACTTTATTATAGGGGAATTTTGTTAATTTATAAATTATCTTATAAAAAATTTGACCAAGATTTGTTAAATCAAAAAAATTAATAAATAATATTTTGTTATTTTAATCAACTTTGTTATCTTATCTTAAAACAGCATCATCGATTTAATAAAATTGTTTCTTCAAATATCAAATTTATCAATTTATATAACATCAAACGATTTGTTAAAATACACTTAATAAAAATATATTTATTATATTTATTATATTACATTGATAAATTTTTAATCAAATTAAAAATTTTTTAATAATTTAAAGCTCTTGTTAAAACAACGAAATGTTTTAAACAACAAAATGTCTTATATTTTGAAAAAAAAAACAGATAATACACTCCAGACAAAAACTTCAAATAGAACATTACCAGGATAAATATATGATAAGGAGGAAAGAAATTACATTTTTATCTGAAATAATGACTATTAATAGTTAATTCGATAATATAATAAGAAAACTAATTTATATTCTTATGTTGTAGCGTTCTTATTGGCTGATGAAGGATATGATGTATGGCTTGGAAATTTCAGGGGAACTTCTTATTGCAGATCACATACAAAAATATCTCCAAGAAATAAGGAATTTTGGCAATTTAGGTAAAATATTACTCTACAAGTGTTATATAAAGAAATATTTTTACTCTCTTTTCGACATTTCAATTATTTTAATCATTTACATGTGTTTTTCTTTTATATTTCTTAAATTTTATTTAATTTAACATATTTTACCTAGAACATTAAATTTAAAAAATCAATTTTTCATTAATAAAATATATGAAAATTTGTAATACTGTGCACGAGTGTATTTATATAGTGTAAATCAAATAATTGAGGAGTTTAAAATGCTATAATTGAGTACAGAAATAAGTTAAAAAACGAAACCAGAACATTATTCAAAGGCAAGTTAAATATTGTTTATTGTATAACATAAACAAATAAATAATGTGCAACTTTTAAAAGAAACTATGGTTAACTATTTTTTTAAATATTTCTTTAAATTTGTTTAGTATTAAATGATAACTACAGAGAAATAATTTATTTTTTGAAGTAAAAGAAATTTAAAATAATAATCTATAGAGGCTTTAGAAGCAAAATCATTATTTTGCGTCCTTGGTCTTCCTTAATATAGATATATAAGAGATAATTAATTTGTACGTCAATGTAATCGCTTTATTAAATATTTTAGTCTAAATTAAAATTTATTTTACATATAAATAATTATTCATAATATTTATAATAAAAATTTTATAAACGAAACTAAATATATTATTTAAAAAATATTATCGTTAATTTTAAACAAAATAAAAGTGTTAAGAATAATGTTGATTTATATTGATAGAAACAGGCATGAGAGTGACCTGATACAACGTTGGCCTCGAATGGCTACACGCTATGGAGTAACACTCGTCCCGCTTTCATTGCATGGTAAAAAGTATTTGACTTGATCTTTAATTGCTTACAGATTTCGTGTCTAACTGGTTTCTTTCAAAATAAAAATAAGTTATGGCATTTTAAAACTCCATCATAACTTTACGGACACACTGTAAATTTGGACACTCTCGTTAAGAAAAAAATCGATCCTGATTGAGTTAAAAAGTTTGTAACATATATTCGGTGGTTTTACAACATTAAAAAAGTAATAAAATAGAAAATAGAATTAACTTTTTATTGTCTAGTTATCACGAGATGGGAACGAGAGATCTGCCAGCTATGATTGATTACGTACTTAGTTACACAAAACAACAAACTCTGCACTACATTGGTCACTCGATGGGAACTACCACGTTATTCATTTTGCTATCCATGAAGCCCGAATACAATGCAAAAATAAAATTAGGAATCTGCCTTGCTCCGATTGCTATTTGGAAAGAAAAAATTCCTTTACCGGAATATATTTTTAATAAAATACCAAAAATTACGGTAAGAATCAGACATCAATCGTATTTTAAGAAAAAGGAAAATATATTTTATATATATTTTTGTATTAACATTATCTTTCTTATTATCCTAATAATCTTAATAGGAGAATAACTTTTTATCGCAACATTATTTTATTTAATATTTTTATTTAATTATAAAATAATGATAAATAAATTTATGTACAGGCTCTATCAAATAAATAATTAATTAAAACATTTTCTTTATATGTTTGGTATTTTTAAATAAAATTCAGACAATTAAAAAATTTATATATACAGGGTGTCCCGAAAGTTGCCAATCACTTTTGTGTAGATAGAGCGGACTAAACTGAGTCGAAAAGTCCTCTACCATTTTGCAATTTTCACAATAGTTAACAAGATATTAATTACTAAAAATTGCCAAATATTATTCTTGAATAATTTTTTACTTAAATACCATTAACTTTACAGAAAAACTGCAAGAGACAAAAATCATTTATTTTCTTCTCATAGAACTCTAAGAATTTTTTTTTATCAACTTTTTAGTACTGCATTTTCTTATTTTTACCATCATTAAAAAATACGGTATTAACAAATTCTGAAAAAATTCTCAGAATCTTATGAGAAGAAAATAAATGATTTTTGTCTCTTGCAGCTTTTCTATAAAGTTGATAGCATTTGAGTAAAGAATTATTCAAGACTAATATTTGGCAATTTTTAGTAATTAATATCTTGTTAACTATTGCGTAAATTGCAAAACAGTAAAGGACTTTTCGACTCAGTTTAGTCCGCTCTATCTACACAAAAGTGATTGGCAAAAAAGGTCGGGACACCCTGTATATATGTGATATTCTAGATAATAATCTATTATAAAAATTAAATTAAATTTATAACTATAATAAATGATCATTTATTTAAACAAGCCAAGAGAAGCAAAAGAGTGTAAAGGCGTGCTATTTGAATTAACACTTAAAAGTTACAAGCATATTTTAATTTTACTAGATTTTTGAAATACCAAAAGAAAAGAAATTGATTTTTCACGAGTAAGATAAACGAAGCAAAATCCTTTTTTAACACTCACATTACTGACATTCCATACACTGAATTATTTTCTTGCTTTTTATCCTTTTTCTAATAATATACTGAAGTATTATTTTTAAAGTATTCTTAGAATTTCTTCAGTTTTATTTAGAAATGTGTCATATATAAAAAAAAACTAAACATGAATAAATTTTTAAATATCGATATATGAATGATAAAAGGAGTGATATTCTAGATAATAATCTATTATAAAAATTAAATTAAATTTATAACTATAATAAATGATCATTTATTTAAACAAGCCAAGAGAAGCAAAAGAGTGTAAAGGCGTGCTATTTGAATTAACACTTAAAAATTACAAGCATATTTTAATTTTACTAGATTTTTGAAATACCAAAAGAAAAGAAATTGATTTTTCACGAGTAAGATAAACGAAGCAAAATCCTTTTTTAACACTCACTTTACTGACATTCCATACACTGAATTATTTTCTTGCTTTTTATCCTTTTTCTAATATATTGAAGTATTATTTTTAAAGTATTCTTAGAATTTCTTCAGTTTTATTTAGAAATGTTTCATATATAAAAAAAAACTAAACATGAATAAATTTTTAAATATCGATATATGAATGATAAAAGGATAAATAATAATAAACAATCAAAAGGTGAATAAAATTAAAAATATTTATAAAAAATAATAGAGATTAAAGTATTACTTTTAATGTGATTCTTCGCCACAAACACACTATACAAATAACCGTTCAACCTAACGTCTCGCGCATAACTGAAGTAGAGTGAAATCAACCATATAAGTCAACATGCAAGAACATGTTTCAATTTGTTTATTTGTTTCAGTTATACTTATAAAGTTGCATTCGTTCCGTGTTACTTTCATCTCTGGTCTCAACTACATAGTTTGTGCATTTTAATTATTATACGTATTGACTCTCATTAAAATATCATTTTATCATTTCACATTTTGTAGAAACTAATATATAATTATTACAATATTATATTTGTTCTTTACATTATATTATATACTATATAGTTTCAATTACAATTCAATGTTTACATATTTCATTTTTGTTCAGGAATTTCTTTATTCTAATGAAATATATGAAGTGGCCTCCTTATCATCAACGAGTGTCACGGTGGGAAGAACACTATGTACAGATAAGGCAATTACTCAGACTGTCTGCGTTGCAATAATATTTCTAATCGCCGGATCTGATCCAGCGCAATTTAACACTGTAGGTACATTTAGCACGATTTTGCAAATTGTAACACTGCTTTTTTTAAAAACTATAAAAATTACAATATAAAGTTTCTATATTTTTACGTATAATAAATCAAAATTGTTTTTAATAAAGCCTTTCGTTACAGACGGCATTACCGGAAATATTATCGAATTATCCGAACGGCGCTTCCGTGCGAACATTCGAACATTATATCCAAAATATGATTACAAGTAAGTATTTCTCTTCCCTTCAAATATGTATATAAAAATATAAACTATTATATTACACAGTACAGCACACATTTTCTCCCGTGAAAAAATCAAAGAAATTCTGAAAGTAGGTGTAAAAAAAATATTAGTTACAGTACTTGTTGCAGTATTACAATATTACAGTATTAATTACAGTATTTATTATAAGTACGTTGTTTACAGTTACATGACATTTTATATTTATCTAAATAAAAATAACAAATTTGCGAAAATCTCTTAATTTCAATTCTATATTTATGTAGAAAAATAATATTAATTGTTGCAGAGAAATTTCAAACTTACGATTATGGATATGCTGGCAATTACAAACAATATGGACAAATATCACCTCTAACGTATGATCTTAAAAAAGTTACTACTCCCTTAGCTATATTCTACGGTGCTAACGATATGATTGCTTTAAAACTGGTAAGATCACTTTTGAATTTTATATGTATAAAAACATCTTTTAATTAAAAAATATATATCGGAAAAAAAAGGAACACAATTTTTCAATTATCTATATGTACGTTATATACAAGGTGGTCCCGAACGTTTCATACAGCCAGACTTAGAGATTTTATAGAAAATTTAATTATCTACAACTTTTTTTCGGTACTTTTTGTTAAAAAACGCATACATTCCATGATATTGCTTTTTTAGACTTTCATTGGTATTATCTTCAAAGATACTAGAAAGTTTGTGGGTTATTGCCATGTTTTTATTCATTGCTAATCCCAACGTTTCATGAACCTTGCCAGGATTTTTTTTCACTTTATCAGGGCAAGGAGCGTATTAATTCCATGATATTTGTAAAAATGTATAAAGTAATCATGATTTCAGAGGTTTTTGAGCGATAACTTTTTAAGGAAGTATTTTTCGACCTATGTTTATAGGAAACCTATTTGTTTGGAATTAAATTTCCTATAAATCCTCACAGTCTACTCTATTCCATACCTGGAATGTTCGAGGCCACCCTGTATGCATAGTATATCCATAGCAAAAAATTTATTTGTTTTGTGCAAGCTACTTTTATACAATTAATTTATATAAAAATCGAATGAGTAGATAGGTCAAGAAAACGAGTAAAGGAAAGATTTTAATTTAAACTAATATATTATCTCACACTTAATTAATATTCGATTAACTAGTATGTTATAAAAACCATGGAATCGATAATATTTTTTTTTTATAAATAATTTAGATTACTTTGAGATTCTAAAAAATTAAACCGCATAATTTTTTTTTTCATATTACACTGTCCGATAAAATGTGACTTTTTTTGTCTTTGGCATGTGTGAAGTATTATTTCTCGAAGATTTTTGGCCGCTGGATTTGAATCCGTGCTCAGAAAAATTCTATCACATCACATTTTCGAAAAATTAGGATCAGCAAAAAACAACGATTTTGGCCATATTAAATGGTATTGCGGTTAAAGAAATTTAATTTTGCTAGTTTTGTCTACACTATCTTAAAGTGCCATTTTTTTATCTATAAAATAAATTTTTTTGTTTCTATATGATTTTTTATAATGAAGTGGGTTTTAAACTATCACTGTCCGATGTTCATTCGGAATAACGTACTAATAGTCTCCCATATTTTGTTCCCAGAATGTCCTCGAAACATATAGGCACCTGCCGAATGTAATTCTGTTGGAGGAAAATCAACATAAATTGTTTACCCATTTGGATTTTTTATGGGCCATTGATGTTAAAACCCTACTATATGATCGTTTAATAGAACTACTTCAGGAATTTGATAATCAGGTGTGGACAATCGATGATAAATTAATCTACGTCTAATACTTTCTTGTTAAAAACATTTTATTTATTTACTTTCAGATTATATAAGATACCCATTTTGAAAGAAAAATTAATATTAAATTACTGACCAGACAAATGCAAATTATTTTTTATATAATAGAAAAGTGTTATTCCCTATTAATCCAATAATAGATACTTTTACGTATGCTGTTCGTACCGAAAAAGTTTCTTTCTGAAACTAGCAACATATTTAAGAAATGTATTTAATTAAAAAATAATATTAAATAAATATCATTATTTTTAATTCTTTGTATAAAATTCTGCAGATTTTATAGAATGTGAGTGGCCCCTTAAATTTTTATCCTTCCTTTCCTATTCAATATTCAAGCAATTTATTTTCACGTGATTTTTTTGTCCTGCACATTAAAGTTGGTTTTAGTTAGTTCTCTTAATTAGAACTTGTTCAATAAGCCATTAAAAATTGTGCTTATCTATATTAAAAATAAAAATTTGCAAAAAAAACCGTTTAAAATTTATAATGAACTCTAATAATTTATAAAAGAATGAAAATAATAAACATTTAATATCAAAATATATTAAGATATTATTTAAACATAAAATCTAATTCACAGATCGATAAGACTTTCGTTATGTTCAGGTAAAAATATAAAATCTAAATTGTCGTGAATCATCAGGTGGAATTTGCGTTAATTATGTAATTTATATATATATTTTATATTGAAAGGACCCAAATTGAAAGATTGAAACTCTTATATTTGATTCGTTTTGTTACATTCACACGAGAATAAAGTGTTTTCTGTGCATCCGAACAGCAAATGTAAGCTCTGATGGGCTTTTTTATTTTTTACTGATAGACTCTTTCAAGCTTCATTTTATATATTTGTTTGGCAATTATATACTTTTTCAAAACTACAACTTATCTGATATATTGAAGGTTTCGATCCGCATCCTTTCAATTAAGCTTTGAAGTATTTCAGAGATTTCACTGAAAAAACTTTTGCCATCTTTCTCCGAATGCAGAAATATTGAAATGTCTTCAACCTAATCACTAGATTATCTGATAGAGAAAGAATTTCACTAATTAAAACTGAGGTTACATCGGCTGGTTGTCAAATTCACAAATACTACGATACTGTTACGTTCGCGGCGTCCGAGTCGTGGAGACACCTTCGCGAACGCGTTCACGCACTCCCGGCTCGCGGGAAAATTGAAACGTTTATATTTGATTCGTTTTGTTACATTCACACGAGGATAAAGTATTTTCTGTGCATCCGAACAGCAAATGTAAGCTCTGATGGGCTTTTTTATTTTTTACTGATAGATTCTTTCAAGCTTCATTTTATATATTTGTTTAGCAATTATATACTTTTTCAAAACTACAACTTATCTGATATATTGAAGGTTTCGATCCGCATCCTTTCAGTTAAGCTTTGAAGTATTTCAGAGATTTCACTGAAAAAACTTTTGCCATCTTTCTCCGAATGCAGAAATATTGAAATGTCTTCAACCTAATCACTAGATTATCTGATAGAGAAAGAATTTCACTAATTAAAACTGAGGTTACATCGGCTGGGTG